CGCGCGGCTCGGCGCGGGCTGTTGCGGGCCGCGCGCGGGCCGTGCGAGGCAGGAGCAGGCCTCGCGCGGCTCGGCACGAGCTGCTGCGGGCCGCGCGCGGGCCTCGCGAGGCCGTAGCAGGCCGCGCGCGGCTCGACGCGGGCTGCGCGGGCTCGGCGCGGGCTGCGCGCGGCAGCTGCGAGCTGCGCGCGGCTCGGTGCGGGCTGCGCGCGGTTGCAGCGGGCTGTGCGCGGCTCGGTGCAGGCTGCGCGCGGCTGCAGCGGGCTGCGCGCGGCTCGGTGCGGGCTGCGCGTGGCTGCAGCGGGCTGCGCGCGACTCGGTGCGGGCTGCGCGGTCTCGGTGCGGGCAGCGCGCGGTAGCAGCGTGTGTGCGGGTCTTACGGGCCTGACAGGCGTGTAGAGGCGGCGCGCGGGCCTTACGGGCCTCTAGGGGCAGCGCGCAGGCAAGGCATACAAGGCAAGGCAAGGCTACGTGGGGTAGCGCGGTAACCGCAGCGGTAGGTGGGCCCGAAAAAAAAAACGGTCCTACGGACCTTAGTGCTCTGAAACCATGTTAGAATCTAGCAGCAGGAATGAATGAACTAACAGGATGCAGGAGTACAAGTAGTAAACCCTAATTGGGTTGTACCCCATGTGGGCTACCCCACTACAGCCTAGACAATATGCAGTACATATAGTTTGACACATTATGTGTGAGATAAGAGAACCAAATGCAATATTTACAATACGAAACGACTGTAAAGGGTGGGAGAAGAATACGGATATACCTAAGAGGAAGGAAAAACAAATAAACAAAATGACTTTATTATATATATATATGTATGTGCTGTATTGATCTTTAGTATGGTTTTCAGCTTCTACGCAACCCTTACGACGTTCATCGTCGAGCCTTGTTGAATATCTATCAATCCCATGGAGTTTCTACACCCGCTAACACAGAGTTGTAGTCCTGCGTATTTTTTGTTCTCGAGTTTAGTGTCCCTAGAAGGCCGCGCTTTTCCGAGAAATCGTATCTGACGCAATCCCGATGCAATGATTGCAAACCCAGCGTGGTTGTCTTTTTGCGCGTCTGCATCCATGATCCATGGACAGTGGCATTCTGACCGCGGGCAAAACAAAATAAACCCATGGCTTATGGCATGCCATTAAAGAGCCTCAACCCTAAGGGCGCGTGCGTTCTGTTCCCAAGTTAGAAAATAAGTTCGAACTTTGGCTGGTTACCCTATTCGTAAATTTCGTCAAGAGCGTCTAACGAACATCGCGAATTTTAGGGCTTATAAAAGTTCGAGCTTCAAAAGTGAACTTAACTCGAGTTGGCGTTATGAACGTGCGTGCGCACGTTCATATGAGTGTGTGTGTTTTCGGCACGCACGAACACTATGCGACATTGTCAACTGCATCGCGAAACAAAAAGTGGCATTATGTTGACTTGGCGAGCATGTACCGGGTAACATAAAGGTTCAAATTTTGATGTTCGACCTTGCGTGTGTGATTGCATCTTTGCAGTGTTATTCCCGCAATTTTCGAACTTCGCTACAAGGAAAGTCGAATTCCGTTTGACTTAAGTTCAAAAAAAATATTCGCCCCCAAAACATGAACTTTGTCAAATTTGACGGAACGCGCGCGCCCTAAAATTTTAGGGTTGAGGCTCTTTCAGATGGCATGCCATCCGAGTGGGTTTTAGGTTTTTCCTTGCCCGCGGTCAGCTTGCTGACTCGATTGCACATTCTTAAAAATAAAACAGAAACAAGGAAGGTTGGGGTAAACCTTGCCTGTTTGATATTGTAACTTCCAACCAAACAGTCTCAACACTCTTTTTAGAGTAAGTGTAACCATATCGCGAAAGCCGCGAAAGCGCATGTAGCACTCCATGGGATTGATAGATATTTAAAACGTGGAGGGCGGCGCGAGGCTAGTCCACAGGATTGAGCGAAAGTTAGAAATCGTCACGTCGCGTTATTATTTCATAGTCAAACCTTGCGAAAAAAATAGCTTCTACAGGTGGCTTAGTGGAAGTGTACAGTGATCCTCTGACTGGTGATTGGTGGATGGCAAATGCTTGTGCTATGAAATAATCGTGTGACGCGACGATTCTCGAATTTCGCTCAATCCTGTGGACTATCCTCGCACCGCGGTACACGATTATTGATATATCTAAATCCCATGGACTTCTACATGCTCTTTCGTGATAATGACATAAACATTCTCAACAAAGTTTGTGTCGGATTTGTTGGACGACACATTCTTTGGCCAGGCATGGTTTACCCCGAATAAGCAATAATCGTTAAGCTATTTTTTTATTTAGGATACAGGGTCATGTAATGCGTTATCTGAATTAAATGTTACATACTGGATTCAAGTTTTCCAATATTATTGGGGAACAAAAAGAACATGAACTTTATAATATACTACTTGAGACTCCTAAGAGATTTAAGCAAAGAGAAATACTGTCTTTTTGCTATAATTGCATTTCTTGAGGTAAAAAATAAAAACATGCCTGAGGATTTGTGGGTTGAAAATACCTTTTTCTCTGCTAATTTTGCAAGTTATAGTTCACGCTCTATTTTTCTTGGCAATGCAAGTTACACTATAATAGCGCATACAAGCATTAACAGTCGTAAGTGTAGCTGATGGGCCTAGACAGCAGCCTGCCATCGTACCCATCCTGACAACTTAGGGGGGATGGAAAATCGTGCGCGGATTGGCCCAGATGGAGGTGAAGCCACTGGTCCACGCAAGCGACTTTGCCATGCTGTCACAGATTCTGCTCATCAAACGGAATTCGTCCGGGTACAACCGCTCTAGGATAGAACGTTGCCCCGGCCCGAGCATGACTCCTGCCCGTTTACTTCCTTTTTTTCCCCGAAGGTAAATTCTCGTGTGAGTGTAAAAAGCCGCTGCAATCCTTCTCAGCACCCTTTTGGACCGAAACCGCCCTCTCTCAAAAGCTGCGTCACACCTTTCCACCCAAATCTTATGCAGAGCGATAGCCGTGATTGTAGGTTCTGGGAAGCCCGAGCATGAGCCCTCAAAGGAAGAACCCCCAACGAAGTTATTTTCCTGCCCGGGTTAATGAACCGAAGAGCCTTCAGCAACCTTTGCACCACTGGCTGGATCCGAGGGCAACTGAACAAGCAGTAATCTGCTGTCTCCTCCTCCCCACAATGCGGGCACGCTACCTCCTCCAGGAACTTTAGCCTTACCCCGACCTGCAGGTTACGACAATGCAGGCGAAGCAGGACATCACGGGCCCTGTTCGGAAGCACCGCTGAGTCCCGCACCGTGATAACTCTCTTCCAGTCAATCACACTCCCCCACTCCTCTGACCACTTCTCTTGCTGCTGCATCTCCCCTTGCTGCGCGCCAAAGAGCAACCTCAGTTGCCTGAAAGGGGGGAGCTGGTCGTCCATGCAGAGCTCCGAGCAGAGCAGCCGTACCTCGGGCAGGCCACCCGCTCCAATTACTCTTCCGCCTCTCACCATCACCGGCTCCACCTTGTCCAGGGCAAGAACCGCAGTTGCCTCCGCCCCTCCCACCAGAGGCATGGCGAAACAGTCGCATGCTCGGCAGGCAAGGCCGTCCTGCACCACCTTCTGAGCCTTCCAAACCCCCACCAGGCCCTTCTTCTTCTCGAAGGCCGACTCTGCTAGAAATTCTTCCCCGGTGATCGGCGCTATCAGCTTCTCCTTCCAGGCTGCTGGGACGCTAGCAAAAGCTATGAGCGCCTTCCTCGCTTTTTTTAGCGTACCCAATTCCTTCGTCAGCAGCTTCTCATCTTTGAAAAAGAAAGCACCATCCTCCGCTCGGCCGACGAAATCTCCAAGCTTCAGGAGCTCCAGCCCCTTTGCCGCTTCCTGCCGTCCAAGTGGCTTCTTTCCATTCGGCAGGATCTGCCAATTATACACCAACGGCTCTTGCGCGATGTCCCAGCGCGAGACCGGACTTTTCTTTGCAACACTCGACCGCATAAACATTTCGCAGGTCTGCTTCCATCTGACGCTCCTTCCCTCCCATACCTTCAGGTACTCCGGATGTGCCCAGAAAGAGCGGAAACCAGCAGGGAGGTCGGCCGCCTTCGTCGCCAGCCAACTACGTACGCCTCTTCTGACCAACACCAGCTTTCCCACCCTTCTGGCGGCCAGGCCACTGAGCTCGACGAAAGGGTCGCGCACCCCCAGCCCGCCATCCTTCCGAGGTCTAAAGATCAGCTCTCTACTCCAGAGCGTGAAGTGGCGCTCCGTCGACGCCCTATTGCCAGAGATGAAATTAACCAGCAGCTTCATAATCCGCTTCCATACACCGTCTGACGGGGGGTAGACTTGCCCCTGGAACGCCAAGATCGGGCATACATAGGCGTTGACAACCGCCACCCTCGTCGTCGTCGTTAAATGGTGAGACTGCCATTTTACCAGCTCCTCCGCGGCCCTTGACAGCGCCTTGTCCCAGGTAACCTCCGCGCTCCCAGATGGGGACACCCAGACTCCCAGCAGCCTCTCCGCTTCCTTCGGGTCGACCCATGCGAAATCTGACCCTTCGCTCTTTTTCTCTTTCAGGTTGGCTCCCAGTGGGAGCAGTGCCGATTTGTCCTTGTTAACCCGGAGGCCAGACCGAGCACCAAACTCCTCCAGCAACTCCCCTGCCTTCTCAATCTGCCGCTTCCCTTTCAACACGAGCGTCGTGTCGTCCGCGTAGCCCAGGTAGGCCAGTCTGTCGCCATGGTCATCACAAGTTCCTAACCTTCTGCGTTTCGCTTCCTGGGAGACCGGCTCCACCGCGCACAAAAAAAAGATAAGGAGCCAGTGGACAACCCTGCCGAACCCCCTTGCGGACGTCCACCCGGTCTCCCAGCTAACCGTTCACCAGCAGGCGGGTGAAAGAGCCGTCGTGCAGCCCCTCGCACCACCGGACGAACTTGCTCGGAAACCCCATCAGCGCCATCGTGTCAAACAAGAACGTCCTCGACACGGAGTCAAATCCCTTCTGAAAGTCGATCATCAACAGTTACCAGTCCTCCCTGTCGTTATTCGCAGCTTCTATCACGTCAGCAACTGTCGATACAGCATCCGAGAGCCGCCTGCCTGGTAAGAACCCGTGCTGCTCCTCTGAGATGACCGTGCCCAGCACTCGTTTCATGCGATTGGCCAGCAGCTTCGCGACCACCTTGTAGCAGCTTGACAGCAAGGTGATCGGCCGGTAATTCTGCACCTGCTCTCTTGGCCCCTTCTTATGCAGCAGAACTGTTACCGCCTCCTGCACTTCCTCCGGAAGAACCGCCGAGGATTCAAACTGCTTAACGAAGCCCATGAAGTCTTCCCTCAGCAGGTCCCAGTGGCGCTCGAAGAGCTCCTTCGGTAGGCCGTCACCGCCCGGTGACTTGTCACACGCCATTTCCTTTAATGCCTTTCTTACTTCATCTTCCGTCGAGTCCGCCTCTAACTCCATTTTCTCCCGATCCCGCAATGTTTTCAGAGGGTCCGGCTTCCAGCAAGGCAGGCCCGACGGGGGAGCCTTCGCGAACAGGTCCGCATAGAAATGGGAGGCGGCTTCCAGAATGCCCCTCATGCCTCTCTGCTCCACCCCTTGCAAGGTCAGAACCGTGATCATCGTGCGCGATTTCTTCTACTTCACTTTCGCCGAGAGAACTCCCGACGCAATCTCACCCTTCGTTTCCTCCTTCACTCCCGCCAAGAGGTGGAGCCTGTCGTTTTCCCCTTTCAGATACGCCGCAAGCTGCGACTCCTTCTCCGCCAGTGTCCCCCGGAGGTCGTCCCGCTGGGGGTTCCTCATCAGTTCCTGCTGCATATCGGAAACTGCAAGCTCCAGGTGCCGCAAAGTCGCTCGCACCCGTTTCCGTTCTTCCGCCGCGTAACACCTTAGCGCGGCCTTGAGCTTGGTGAGGAGGCCACCAAAATTGCGCGAAGCTTCCGCATGATGCCTTTCAGTGACCGCTTTAATCACCTTCTCCACCCCCGGTTTCACCGTGTCTGCAGATGGTAGCCGCCAGATGCCTGGACCCATGTGAAGCCTCAGACTCGCCTGCAGCACCACCTTGATGCCACACTTGTGATCCGAGATGCCCCTTAGTGAGCGGGTGTGAACCGCCTCCACTACCGAGGGGAGCAGCTCCGTTGATACTAAGATGCGGTCAATCCTGGAACTCGATTTCGTCGCCCCCGCATAGAAGGTGTATTCGCGGCCACTCGGGTTGAGCGTCCTGAACGCATCCATCATGTGCAGGCCGCTGAACAATTGCAGCATCCTGGAGTTCTCCCCAGACGAACCTCCCGCCGGGGACTTGTCCAGGGTCGGGTCTTCTACAACATTGAGATCCCCTGCCAGCATCAGCTTGCCGCTGCAGTTCAGCCCCAACAGGAACGGACCCAACTCGTCCCTGAAGAAGGTGACTCTGCTACACGCACTCGTCGGAAGGTACGCCGCTAGAATCGCAAAGCTGAAGGTGTCCCAACGTACTTCAGCATGAATGAGCCTCCCTGAGGCATGCGCCGTGATATTCTCAAAGGTTAGTTGTTTATTGTTGCTGACAATCGCCACTCCACCAGCCCTATCCACGTTAGCCACCGCCAGGCAGTGGTGAAACTTCAACCGTTTCCAACAGTCATGGTCCGGAGTAACCCTTGTGTCCGTAAGGATCTAAACATCTGCTTCCTTCTTAGCCCACTTTTTCAGGTCCCGTTGCTTGCCTCTACTCTCGAGCCCATTAACATTGAGCTCGCACATTGACAGCTTGCAGGCTTAATCCATTAATCAACCAGGCGGGAGCCCCATAGCAACCACGGGCTGGAGAAAAGCATCTGAAACAGAGCACGTTAACACTATATAGCATTGCATACATCTCATGCGAGTCACGTACTAACATAAACAACTCTCTCTCTCTCTCCCTTTCCGGCAGATACTTCCCTCAGATCCCGTATTCCTTGCGCAACACACGGAGATTCAGCTTGTCCTTGAGCACGCGCGTGGCAGCACCCTGCTTCACCACACCTCCCCGGTGGCGCTGGGAGAGCGCATGGTGAGCGGCCTGCTCGAAAGAGGAGCCCTTCGCCTTCTCGCAACACTCCAGCAGGCAGACCCACTCCTCTCTGTTCCCTGCTGTTGAGACCAGCACTAACGCAGGGTCTTTGAGGATGAACTTGGTCGTCGTTGTGGCTACAGTCGCATCCGCTGCACGGACGGGAGATACGCAGCTGGAAATCAGAGACCGTCGACAGCAGAAAAGAAGCGACAGCGTGAGCAGCGAAAATATCTAAGCGAGAAACACCGTCTCTACCGTTGAGCTCCTGGATCCTCCCCACTGTGAGGTTCCACTTGGAGATGTTGTTCTGCCTCTTGGTAACGAAGTCATTGTGGTTATGCACGGAGTGCATTCCCCCGCAGAGTGAACACTCTCAGGGCCGGGTAGTGCACCGGGATCTTCGTTCCAGGTGAGATCGGGCTTTCGAACTGATGAAGCCACCGAAACTGGTCCTTCTCATGAGCAACGACCAACTCCTTCACCCAGTCAGTGTCAAGCCCCGAAACCGGATGCACCACGCGGTGAAAGTGGAAGCCTTCCTTGGAAGCCGGACGCTTGTAGATCTTCAGCGGCGAAACAGCAAGCGCCTCATGCAGCATCTCTGGGGAGATTTCCGCAGCAACACCAAGGAAAAGCACTTCAATAACAGCCGGGTCAGTGATCTTCCTTGCGTACCCTGGGTCTTCCGGATAAAGCCAGTCCAGGAAGATATACTTCCCGTCAATACACTGGTGCTCGACACGGTTACGCCAGACAAAGTTAGCATCAGAGGCAGCAACGAAAATCACTTGCATGCGACCATAAAGCTTCTTCGCAATATAACCCGGATCCAGTTCCTGGAAAGTCGTCTTTGCCGCGTGCTCTATGAGCTCATTCCCCCACATCCCCAGCAGCTCCTTGACAGTCGCCTGCGTACGGCGGACCTCCTGCAAATGGTCGCTTGGGATGAGCAGGGTGAGCGGGAACCGAAGCTTCGCCGCCAGATCCTCCTTCGCCTTGTCTTCAAAACATTCCTTTGGATCATGTGCCTGAAGCTCATCATCGTCATCATCCATGAAGTTGTACCGGTGAGCAGCACCAGGTGTGTCATGCTCCTCCTCGCCTGCAGCATCATCTTCCGCATCAGAGACAGCGTCCTTAAAATCCGCATCTTTCCCCTTGCCTTTATCTTCTTTCCCTCCAGTAGCTTGTTCGATCCTGAGAGCCGCTAGCTTAGCGGACAGCGTCAGCGATTCCGAATCATCCTCCGCGAACAGAGTGCGTGACGACTTCGACGGTGTCAAGATAAGCGGTAGTCTTAGGAGCCATAGCTAGGAGAGTCCTAGCTAGGCAAGAGAGTTTAGGCGAAAGAGGAGGGTTGCACTAGCAAGAATGGGGATACAAATAGCAAACCCTAGAAGGGTTGTACTCGCTACAGAGCACCCCACTACAGGCTAGAGCATAATATTCTGACACACCCCCATAGCCAAAGTGGGGTGTAATCAGCAGAGCAAGCAAAGCAGTACAAGCTCAGGGTGGATCACAATGTCACCACACATTCTGAGCACAAGTTTAAGAAGCAATAGTTTAAAGTTCACAATTATGAGCAAAGCTAGTGGTAGTCACAACGGGCAAGTGAGGAGGAGGAGGGCTGGCGAGAGGAGAGTAGATGGGAGGCGACGACTGAAGCTGCAGGCACACGGGCAACAGACGGCTCTGGTGCGACACAGTGGCTACCGGGAGTGAGTGCCCCGGAGTACAGGAGTAACAGGCTCCGCGGCTAAGACGAGCAGCAGGAGCAACGGACCCACAGGCGACGGCGCAACCGGCTCTCTGAGCTACCGGGAGTGAGTGCCCCGGAGTACAGGCGCTGCGTACGACACGACGGCAACCTCCCCTCAACCTCCCCCAACAGTCCCACACCCCTCGACACACACCCGCTGCTACACCGCTAGCTCCACTCCCCCTTCACCCCCCCTTAGTACCACTCCGACGGCTCCAACAGGTCCACCCCCCTCAGCGGCAGCTGCAGCACAGGGAGACGGAGGAGGAGGAGGAGCAGGGAACGGCACACAGAAGCTGCACCCCCATACCCCCCAACCCCAAACCCTAATCCAGGAGAACGGGCAGAAGGAGGGGTGGGGTGTTGAGATACTAGGCGTAGTTAGTCTTAGGAGCCATGGCTATGATGGCTTAGAAGCTTAGGTTTAGGGTATACGAAGGAGAATGGTGAGAATGAGATGGTTGAACTAGCAAGAGTTGGGATACAAGTAGGAAACCCTAAAGGGTTGTACTCACTGTTGAGTACCCCACTGCAGGCTAGACAAGTAACATTCTGACACACCCCCATAGCCAAAGTGGGGTGCAATCAGCAGAGCAAGCAAAGTAGAACAAGCTCAGGGTGGATCACAATGTCACCACACATTCTGAGCACAAGTTCAAGAAGCAACAGTTTAAAGTTCACAACTATGAGCAAAGCTAGTGGTAGTCACAACGGGCAAGTGAGGAGGAGGAGAGACTGTGAGGGGAGAGAAGATAGGAGACATCGTTTGGAGCTGCAGTCACACGGGCAACAGGAGCGGCTGACACATGGCGGCTGACTCAGATAACTGGTGCAGCACAAGCTCTCAGTGGCTACCGAGGTAAGCACCCCGGAATACAGGAGTAACAGGCTCTGCAGCTGCGGCAGGAGCATCGGACCCACGGGCGACTGGTGTAGCACTCACTCTGCGCTACCGAGACAGAGCCCCGGACTTCAGGTGCTGCAGACGACAAGACGGCAGCCTCGGCTCAACCTCCCCCAACTGTCCCACACACCCCCCACACACCCACTGCTTCACCCCTAGCTCCACTCCCCCTTCACTCCTGAAACCCTAAACCCTCGGCTCCCACACATCCACCCCCCTCAGCGGCAGCTGCAGCAGTGGGAGACGAGGAAGGAGGAGGAGGAGGAAAGGGGCGACGCACACGGAGCACCCCCACACCCGCCACCCCCACACCCCTTGTGGTGGGGGGGGGGGGGGGGGGGGGGGGGGGGGGGGGGGGGCAGAGCAGAACAGTGCGCACGAGGGCGCGGGCAGCAGCAGAGTGCACGAGGGCGCAGACAGTAGCAAAGCGCACGAGGGCGCGGGCACGAGGCACGAGGCACACGGCACGAGGCACAGGCACAGGCACAGGCACAGGCAGAGGCACAGGCACAGGCACAGGCACAGGCAGGTAGGTAGGTAGGCACGAGGCTCGAGGCACAAGGCACGAGCAGGCACAGGCACAGGCACAGGCACAGGCAGAGGCACAGGCACAGGCACAGGCAGGTAGGTAGTAGGCTCGAGGCACAAGGCACGAGCAGGCACAGGCACAGGCAGAGGCACAGGCACAGGCACAGGCACAGGTAGGTAGGTAGTAGGCTCGAGGCACAAGCAGGCACAGGCACAGGCACAGGCACAGGCAGGTAGGTAGTAGGCTCGAGGCACAAGGCACGAGCAGGCACAGGCACAGGCACAGGCAGGTAGGTAGTAGGCTCGAGGCACAAGGCACGAGCAGGCACAGGCACAGGCACAGGCAGAGGCACAGGCACAGGCACAGGCACAGGCAGGTAGGTAGTAGGCTCGAGGCACAAGGCACGAGCAGGCACAGGCACAGGCACAGGCAGAGGCACAGGCACAGGCACAGGCACAGGCAGGTAGGTAGTAGGCTCGAGGCACAAGGCACGAGCAGGCACAGGCACAGGCACAGGCACAGGCACAGGCAGAGGCACAGGCACAGGCACAGGCAGGTAGGTAGTAGGCTCGAGGCACAAGGCACGAGCAGGCACAGGCACAGGCACAGGTAGGTAGGTAGTAGGCTCGAGGCACAAGGCACGGGCAGCACAGGCACGGGCAGCATCGGGCAGCAGCAGAGCGTACCGGGTCCAGGGGCGGCTTCTGAGGTCCAGGGGCGGCTGCTGCAGGGACGGCTGCTGAGGTCCAGGGGCGGCTGCTGCAGGGGCGGCTGCTCCAGGGGCCAGGGGCGGCAGTTGTAGGGGCGGCTGCTCCAGGAGCCAGGGGCGGCAGCTGAGGTCCCGGGGGCGGCTGCTCCAGGGGCCAGGGGCGGCTGCTGCAGGGGCGGCCTCTCTGAGGTCCAGGGGCGGCTGCTGCAGGGGCGGCTGCTCCAGGGACCAGGGGCGGCTGCTGCACGGGCGGCCGCTCTAGGGACCAGGGGCGGCTGCTGCAGTGGCGGCTGC